CCACCGGAGGGCAGATGCCCAATGCAGGAGCTGCCCCGGGTGGTCAGTGCGCTCCCACAGCAGGAGCAGCCGCTCAGAGGGCAGGTCCACAGCCACGCAGCTGACGGAGGTGAGCGGTGCTCCCACAGCCGGCAGATCCCTACAGGCCACGCCCCCCAGCAGTGTACGAATCGTGCACTGGGCCTCTAGTAAAAAAATAAAAAATAAATGAAAAGGAAGAGGGGTCACCATGCTGTGACCACAGGATAGCGACGGACAAAAGCATCCATAATCCTCAAGTGTGTTCACGCGCCGGGCCACACACCCACGCCGGCTGCGCGACACAGAAAAGCGACAGGAGACGGACTGGCAGCCTGTAAGTGCCCTTCTCTCTCCTTAGCAGCCTCAGCGAGGAAAAGGTGAAAAGGTAAACGGTGGATCACTAGCTGTCCAAAGAAAAGCTTCCCTCCTCACAGAAAAATTTTAAACATTATAGCCACTAACACAATTTTGAAAAGCACCAAACAGGTGACATTCTCTGATGATTACACAGTAAGAGTCCTAACTTGTTAACTAACAGGGAAGCGTATTCATTCATCAAACCTTCCGAACGCCCACGACATGCAGGGCACCGCCAGCTGCTGCGGAGGCCACTGTAGAAACGTAGGATCTACAGTCAGTGAAAAGCTTCCATTTTACTGTCTGTGGAGTCGGATCGCGTTTGGGGTGAGCTCTGAGGGGGAGGCAGGCTAATCCTGTGTTGAATTAACTTGTTTAGGAGATGCGGATACACACAAACGGAAAGGCGGGGGTACCGCCCAAAACATCAACAACGGTTACTTATCCTAACTTTCTATTCCTTCGTCAAGTTGGTTTTTTTTAAGCCCAAATCACGTTGCCCTTATAATGAAATCCAAAAATGAGGTTTTAAAAACCAGAACAAAGCCCAGCTGGTGAGGCTCAGGGGTTGAGCGTCGACCTAGGAACCAGGAGGTCAGGGTTCGATTCCCGGTCAGGGCACAGGCCGGGTTTGGGGGCTCCATCCCCAGCAGGGGGCGTGCCGGAGGCAGCGATCCACGAATCTCTCTCATCATTGATGTCTCTCTCTCTCTCCCCCTTTCCCTTCCTCTCTGACATCAATAAAAAACATATATAGTTTTAAAAAGACAGAACAAAACAGCCCTTCCAAAATAAAACATCCTGATTATCTGTCTGCAAACTACATAGACCGGTGATGGCGAACCTTTTGAGCTCGGCGTGTCAGCATTTTGAAAAACCCCAACTGAACTCTGTGCCGTGTCACACATAGAAATTTTTTGATATTTGCAACCATAGTAAAACAAAGACTTATTTATTTTATATATTTAAATGCCATTTAACAAAGAAAAATCAACCAAAAAAATGAGCTCGCGTGTCATAGGTTCACCATCATTGACATATACTGTAAAAAAATAATAAATTCAAATCATCTCTATGCCTATGCCTTTAAATAAAAACAGGTTATTCAAAGCTATACATAAACTCCTATTACACACACACACACCCCATTTTCAGGAAATGAATGCTGCTCCCTCATTTGTCACGTCCCTGCAGCCAGCAGGATAAACAAACAGAGGCTCACTTTGGGCGCTCCCAAATCCAGGCCCAGGAAGGGACACACGTACTTAAGTGGGTGGTGAGCAAACAGCTCCCGGTGAATACCCCCCCCCAACGGATCTTCCCCCAAAGGACACCCTAACCTTTCCTGCAGGCCCTGCCCCCTGCCAGGGGCTCCCCTTAACCCCCGTCTGCGACCCGGGAAAGATCAACTCGCACAGGCTGTTTTCCCCCGAGCCTGCTGGGGCACGGGAGGTGCCAGAAGGGCAGGCACACCCCGTTCCATGGCACGCCGCTCTCTTGTGCTTCACTGAAGTTGCTTTTTTTTTTTTAACTGAAGGCAAGACCCTCCACCAGCAAAAAAAGATTCTTTGTGATCCTTTTTTTTAATGATTTGCAGAGATTTCCCGACGGCTTGTGGCTTGTTTTCATTATCTTTTAAAATATATATATATCATTTGCCCTCACCCCCACATTTAAATGACTGTTGATTGATTTTTGATTTCAGAGAGGAAGGAAGAGGGGGAAAGAGAGAGAAACATCCATGAGAGAGAATCATTGATCAGCGGCCTCCTGCACCATTGAGCCCGCAACCCGGGCATGTGCCCCCAGACGGTCGCTCTACCCACTGAGCCACATGGGCCAGGGCTATTTGCGATACTTGCTTTATGAAGGCGGTCTGGAACCAGACCCACAACATCTCCAAGGTGTGACTGTCATTTGCCAGATTACACAGGGAGGAGGGGAACACAGCCAGGGTGTGTATGTCACATACAATCAAGTGCGTTTTTCCTACTTCAGACGTCAACCCGTCACCCGCTGGTGTGTGGGACACATGCGCCAACCGCGCCACACTGGCCAAAGAGGGCTCTGTGATTTTCACACTGAAAAAGGCGGTCACGCCTACTGCCAGACGCCTCACAATGTGATTTCAAAGGAAAAGACCCATCACACGCAGGTGAACAAGAAATCCCGGCTTCTCAGGCACAGGCTCAAAACATAGGCACGAATCCTTATGGCCATGCGAACAGAAGGCAGAACCCTAACGTTTTTCGTGCTTTTGGTTCATTCATTTCCAGCCTTTCGATCTACGTCGCTCCCGACGACCTAAAACTCTGGCAATGCAATCTGCACTCCGTGCCCTCGAGAGGCTCTTGCTGTTGGCACCGGAGTCAAGAAACAAGAACTGTTCCGAGGGCACGGCTGCTGACAGCACAACAAAGTAAAAACAAAAACAACCCACAACCGAAACGCCCGTGAGTGACGGACGATGAAGGCATCGCTGCGCGGCAATGAGATGAACAGACTACGGTCACACGCAATTTTTACAAAGCCCAGAAGAAAAAGCAAACGGAAAAACGTACAAATATTATGTCACGCAACTTTTTTTTTTTTAAAGACAAGGGGATGATAAACACAAAACCTACCAGACTAGACCATTACCTGGGCGAGGAGAGGCAAGGACGGGTAAGAAACACAGAAACAGATGAAGTTTTGGGGGATCTTCCAGGTCTAGGTTTGGGGGTGGAGTCATGGATTTTACTACGTTCTACTTCTTTATACGGTATTGTGTTACACAGTCGTCTTTTGTGGTACATTAAACACGTATTACATATTAAACATATATATGTGTGTGTGTGAGTGTGTCCATATATATGGAGGACACGTTTTTATTGATTTTAGAGAGAAAAGGGAGAGGGGGTGAGACAGAGACACACCTATGGGTTGCCTCCCGGAATACACCCTGACCTGGGGTGGAACCTGGGACCCTTCAACTGCATGGGGGGGGGGGTGTGCAAGCTCCTACCCACTGAGCCACACCGCTGGGCCGTGGGAGGTGTGATCGGTTTGGACACAGGGAAGTTCTCCCCAGGATCAAGATAAATAGTCCACAGCCCTGGCCCGTACAGCTCAGTGGATAGAGCCTGGCCTGCAGACGGAACAAGCGCACAGGCCCGGGTCACAGGCTCCATCCCCACTAGGGGGCGTGCAGGAGGCGGCGGATCCACGATTATCTCTCATTGATGTTTCTCTCTCTCTCTTCCCCTCCCTCTCCCTTCCTCTCTGCAATCAATAAAAAAAAATCTATTAAAAAAAAAGTCCACCAACCCTTAAAATTACCTCCTGTGCCCTTGGGATCCCTGCACCTCCCCTTCCATATATTTCCATTTTGTTTATTTTATTAATGCATACAACAGGTTTTATATATTAAGCAATCCTAGAGCAATTGTCTTTTTTTTTTTTTAATTTTTCATGGTTCCTGAGCCCAGCAGCATTCAACAGTATCGACCGAAAGAAAGCGTTGCAAAGCTAAATTTTGGGGGAAATGTTTAAATTTGGGGAAATTTCAATGTGCATTTATTTGGCAGGAAAAACTTTTCCCCACCCCCAATACCTGGACTTTGAGGACCCGAGCAGGGAGGGGGCCCTAAAAATAAAAATAAATAAAAATAAAAATGGTAACATAATCGTTACATAATTAAGCTCAACATCCAAAGTTTGTGGGTCTTTGGGGTTTAGGGGATACTGGGGTCTAGACACGTAGCGTCACCGCGTTGCACCCTTGAGGCTAATATCACGTGCCAACTACACTTTAATTAAAAAAAAAAACTTTTTGAACAGTGTAGGGGGCGTTTGTCACTTTAAGAAATAAAATAAAATCCCGGATTTTGCAAAAAGGAGCTTGCAAACCATCCCAGACCGCCGCCCCGCGTTGACGGCCGGGAAACGGGTCCAAATAAAAACGTCCCCACGCTGCGGGCAGGTCCCGTCGGGCCACGACTTCCGAGTCGTGAAAACAACAACAAAAAAACAACAAATCACGACAGCGCGTTGCCCGCGCGCGGCCCCGAAATAAAGTTAAAATCGCTCCCAACACCCACGGGACTGGCCCGCGCGACCCCGAAAGTTACGACGTCGAAGGGGGGGGAGTGAAAAATGCACAAACTCTGGACCCAGCCGCCCGGGAGCGCGACC